AGAGTAACATTACCCATTGGTATAAGTACCTGAGATGGGGCAGTAGGCAGTGTAGAAAAACGGGGAAAGCAAAGTGTTCATAAAGGACTGGATTCAAATCCTCACTCTGATACCAACCGTCCAAAGGCACTTGCACAGGTCGTACAGCTGCCTCAGCCTATCATCTCATAGATAAAATGGGGGAATATTGGGTGATCATTTGGCATTATGGTTAAGACACGTCTTGGGACCCCTGCATTCCATAGCAGAGTGCCAGAGTTCCAGCCCCAGTGCTGCTCCCAATTCCAGCTAATGCATTCTAGGAGGCAGCAGGTAATAGTTCAAGAGCCTGGATCACTGCTACCCACATGGAAAAACTGTATTGAATTATGGGCTCCTAATTTCAAGCCGGCCCAGCCTCAGCTGTTTGCAGGCATTTGGGGAAAAAACCAGTGGATGAAAAATCCTCCCCCTCCTCTCTCCCTCCCTCTCTCTCTCTCTCTCTCTCTATTTCTCTCAACCCCTCTTCTCCCTGCCTTTCAAATAAAATTTGAAAATAAGTAAAATTTAAAATGGTAAGAATAGCTTCCCAGCCTAAGCAAAATATGTATAAAGTTCCTGGCATATTATAGGTACAAATAGTTGAATAAGGCCGGCGCCACGGCTCAATAGGCTAATCCTCCGCCTTGCGGCGCTGACACACCAGGTTCTAGTCCCTGTCGGGGTGCCGGATTCTGTCCCGGTTGCCCCTCTTCCAGGCCAGCTCTCTGCTGTGGCCAGGGAAGGCAGTGGAGGATGGCCCAAGTGCTTGGGCCCTGCACCCCATGGGAGACCAGGAAAAGCACCTGGCTCCTGCCTTCGGATCGGCGCGGTGCCGCCGGTCACAGAGCGCCAGCCACTGCGGCCATTGGAGGGTGAACCAACGGCAAAGGAAGACCTTTCTCTCTGTCTCTCTCTCTCACTGTCCACTCTGCCTGTCAAAAAAAAAAAAAAAAGTTGAATAAATAATTGTTTTCCAATAGAAAGCAGACATTTAAGGAAATTAACAAGAACTGTTTCTCAATGTCTTTGTCTTCCCACCCATAATAGTAAAACTTTGTTATTACTTTATAATTTTCAGATGAATGACAGAAACCTTTATATTCAATGCTATTATCAAAATGTTCAGCAAGTGGAAATAGTATTTCTCTTTGTGTTTTATAGTGAGATAAGCAAATTAACTTTCAGAAACACTAATGATTTTCATGAACCTATAAGAAAAGTATAATTTTAGAATCTTTATGTTCTCTTCAGGATTTCTAAATTTATACCATGGTGGAGCTGAGTAATAAACTCTAAGATACATTGATCTAAGCCATTAAGTTAATAAAATATAATCATTAAAGATATGGAAGCCAGCAACATAATTTTATAATTAATTCCATTTCATTACTATATTTCTTTGCAATTTGAAAAGTGCTTACAAATTTATGCAATGAAACAGTATCAAAATCATAGGATTAGAAAAGAAAGGCCCTAAGACAAACAACATTAAATGCTCTTTCATAAACCAAATAGTAAAACCATAGTTCTTTTTCCACTAACAAATTATATATAGGCCGAAAATATTTAGTTCAAAATGTTTTAGATAAATTAATGAGTAGAAAAATCAGGGGACTGGTATTGTGGCATAGTGGGTTAAACTACCACCTGCAATGCTGACATCTCATATGAATGACAATTCAAGTCCAAACTGCTCCACTTTAGAACCAGCTCCCTGCTAATTCACTTGGGAAATCAGCAGAAAATGGCCCAAGTGCCTGGGCCCTTACCACCCATATGGAAGATCCACATGGAGCTCCTGGCTCCTGGCTTTGTCCTGGCCCAGCCCTGGCCATTGCAACCATCTGGGGAGTGAATCAGCTAATGGAAGATATTCATTCATTCTCTCTCTCTCTCTCTCTCTCTCTCGAATCAGCTAATGGAAGATATTCATTCATTCTCTCTCTCTCTCTCTCTCTCTCTCTGTAACTCTGGCTTTCAGATAAATAATTTTTTAAAAAATAACATTCATAATGAGTAATTACTGCAAAATGAGAATTTTGAAAGGCATATTTCAGCTTTCAGCATATGTCCATATGAAAAACTACCACTTCCCACAGTGACCCTTGATAAACTGTTAAATCCTGACTCCATAGCTTAAAGATCAACTCACTATAATTATTGTTTCCAAGAAAACTAATTTTTAATGACCTCTTTCCCAGTCTGCAGACGCCCTTTTTGGTCCTATCCTTCCATTCATTTCAGGTTTTCTGTTTTGTTTTATTTTGTTTTTTTCTTTATTCCTGTGCTCAATATTTATTGAGGCTGTGCTATATGATTATGTACCAGCAGTCTTCAACCTCATTAACCCGTCATTTTTTAAAATGTATTTATTTGAGTGGGAGAGAGGAAAGGTGAGAGAAGAGGAGGGAAGGAGAAAGGAGAGGGAGAAAGAGACAGAGACAGAGAGCTCTCATCTACTGATTCTCTCCTGAAATGCCCATAATGACCAAGGCTGGCTGGGTCAGAACTGAAGCTGGATGCTGGGAACTCGATCTAAGTTTCCCGTGTGGGTGACAGGAACCCAGTAACCTGAGTCATCATCACTGTCTCCCAGAGTCTGCAATTGCAGAAAGCTCAAGTCAGGAGCCAGAGTCAAGAATCAAATCCAGGTACTCCAAATAGAAAGTGGGCTTCTTACTCACTAGTCTAAATGGCTGTTCTCACCCTGTTATGTCATTTAAACAAAAGCACCAAAGTGGAATGGAAACAGACAGTTAAAACATATTTCCAAATCTTTTAAATATTTCAGTTATCTAAGTATACAAATGAGTCCTTCAAAAAAGTTCATGGAAAAAGAATTAAAAGATAAATTTATTTTCATGCCAAATTTTTGAAATTATGCATTTTTCATATTACTCATTTTCCATTAAAGTTCTGAAGACCCCATTTGTGCATGGGTTTTAAGATGTTTTGCACCAAAACAAAATTTTCTTTAAATTTCATTTCCAGAAACTTTTTGAAGCTTCTGTGTATGTATGTCAAAATCTTAATCATATCTAACTTGTCATAAAAATAAATTTGAGTTGTTATTTAGCATCCAATTCTCTTGATTCCAACATAATTAGTTTTTTAAACGAAATTGTTATTTTAACTTATACTATGTCACAGAGCTAAAATCCAAAGTTCAGTCATGGCTTTGCAAGTTATTGCAATAAGTTTCCAATTCTAAGATTTTATATTAACACAAATACCACTTGATCCAGAGCAAATTTTGCCATCCTAACTTTCAAGAGGTTTCTCCAAGTTCAAGTTATATAATAAGTCAGACCAAGTTCCCACTGAAATACTTCCTGTTCATTAACTCACACCCAAAGAATATCCCTTACACTGTATGTGCCTATTTGAAAAGCACAGCTTTCACAACAGTTTCTGGATGGCTGGATGAAAGGCTGACAGGAAGGAAGGAAGGGAGGAAGGGGAAGGGGAAAGAAGAGAGAGGACAGGAGCAAGGGGGGAGGGGAGGGAGGGAGAGAATAAGAGAGGAGAGGGGAGGAAAGGGGAGGGGAGGGGAGGGGAGGGGAGGAAGATTACCAATAAAGGAGCAGGTATTGTGACACTGTTAACCTGCCAGTTGGGATGCCCAAGTCCAATACTGGAGTGATGGTTACAGTCCTGGCTACTCTACTTCTTATCCAACTCCCTGCTAACATGCCTGGGAAGCTGATGATGGTGCAAGTACAAGAATCCCTGCCACTTTCGTGGGAGGCCCAGATGGAGTTCTAGGCTCCTGCTTTTTGCTTATCCCAGTCCTGGCTGTTGTGGTCATTTGGGGGAGTGAACCAACAGATGGAAAATCTCTTTCAACCTCTCTCTCTCTCCCCAGTCACTATGACTCTGCCTTTCAAATAAAGAAATAAATATTTTTTAAAAAAGGAATGATCAATAAAATATTTGTCTTTAAGATTTTTCTCATTCTATTAGCTAAATCATAGATGTCAAATCTCAAAAAATAGAAATTATGTGACCAATAGATCAGGAAAATCATCCCTTTGTTGTATAAGATATTAGTTAATTAATTCAGCTGCAATTTATTGCAGTTTTTCCATGTGCCAGTGAATAATTTAGGCTCTAAAATTTAAAGGTAAGTAAAGTCAGTATAGGTACAGCATGAAACAGAGAAATGGTTCCACTGGATTCATCTGAACTAACTTTAAATAATCATTAAGCCATGAAAAACAGAACAATGCATCTCTTTAGAGCATGTTTTCATTACCAATGAGAAAGAAGGACAAAATCTGCTTTTGCAGATTTTGCAATTTTTGCAATGTTTTAGGTTGGTTGCTTGTTGCTTGGAAAAATGCAGTCTTCTCAAACAAAGTAAGATGCTGTCAGTTCACACTGTTTTTTGATAAGGGGTCAAATGGGAAAGAAGAAGTTCAGAAAATAGAAAAAAATAAAGATATCAACATGAAACAAATCAAAGTTTTGCACAATATCATTCTCATATTAGACCAAAATACAGCCTCAGGCAAGCCACTGAAAAACACCCAGAAATGAATAACCCCTAGACACATACTTTGCAAGAACAGTCAGTGAAAGGAAACAGTGCAGAAATCTCTGGATAAGCTTAAGGGCAGGCTGAAAGCCTGGATAAGTGAAAACTAAAAGCTTGTCATCGGTTGTTCCTCCATGAAGCAAATCCTCAAAGCACTTTGCAGCTGGCAGAAGTAGCAACTTCTCTTCGGCACTAATGGCCTAGTCTGGCAGGTTCATTCATTTCACTTTAGCAGATACTACCTTTGGTTTTTAAGAGCCAGTCTTTTTAACTTGCACAAGTACAAATGATAAATTATGAAAACCTGACCATTTCAGAGGTCAACAAATGTTCTGAACATGCACAACAAAAACTTCTGGAATGACTGGAAGAACTGACCAAGTCTGGTGGCTAAGTCTGCAGCATTAAGTCCATTCCAACAGGTAACCCAAGTTCTACTTACGCCTAACATCTGGTGGAGGTAATGGTACTCTGGCCCTTGGTTATACAGCAGGAAGGTTTTCCAGAAAAGCAGACCATTCAGGGAAAGCCAGATGAGCTAAACCAATCAAAGGGAGAGAGAAAAAATTAAAAATAAACATTACCTGATGAATGAAGACCACAAGTGTATTCCTTAGAGAACTTTAAATGGGGCCTCAACTAGTAATTACAGAAAACATATGCAATGGACCAGCAGGGTGAAATCCAAGCAAAGGAAGACTAATCTGACCTTAGCTAACCCCTCCACCTGAGATCAAGCCTGTGGGTTGCAAGTAGCTCTCCTAAGTGATCTGTAGATAGGCCCCTTGAAGTGCAAATTGAGGCTAAGAAATGAAGGGCATCACCATGGCCCAAGCAAAAGAGCAGCACTCAGGGAAAACAGCAAAGGGGACACATGTGTTTAAAGGCTTAAGAAAAAGCTGTGTTCACTTAGAGTGACTTCCCTTCCTCCACATCCGCTCCCACATCCCTGTGTAGAGAAATTCCCATGCACTTGGAGGAAACCAGCAATCATTATCTGCAGGTTTTAACGGCGGCGTCAAGTTTTGTTAGTTGAGACCATTCGAATTGGAGACAAAACTCCCCCTTTCAGCGTCCCACCGGTGCACGCTCAGGGATTGAATCAAAATCGAGGCAGGAGAGACAAAACGCCTACGGAGCCCCCGCGCGCCATCCTACCAGGCAGAGGTGTTTAACCCCTTCGTTGGCCAGCCAGCTTCTCCAGGACACATCCATGCCGTCGGCCCCGGTGCTGCGCTCCACGCCTGCACACCGAAAAGGAGCGCGCGGCGGCGCAGGCAGCGGTTACAGTGCCGCGGCCTGCGGGGGCGGGGGCGGCGGGGACCCGGGGTCAAAGACTGAGTGGAAGTTCCGAGGCGCGGCACCGAGCCAGCCCGGGCGGGCTCCGCGACCCGGCTCGACCCGCGCCGCGTCTGCCCTGGCCGGTCTGCGGCCCGACCTGGCGCCCGCAGCGCGCCCCGCGGCTGCTGCCCGGCTGTGCAGTGTTCGCCGCCGCGCCGGCCCTTTGTCTGGGGGCGAGCCCGTTGTTGTGGCTGCCGCCGCTCAGGATGTCCCGGGTAAGGAACTCGGAGGCGTCCCCGCAGTCTAGCCCGGCCTGCCCTGCTCCACACCACCCGCAGAGGTGTGCAGCCGGACACGCAGAGCTGCTGAGAATGGGACCCCCGCCCCACCCCACCCCTCAGTTCGTCACGCACACAACTACTTCTTATGGACTGATTGATTCCCGGCCCCCTCAAAAAAAGTTTAACTCACAGGCTTTTTATGGAAATTTGAGCCGGAAATGGCCTTTTGTGTACTAGCGTCCCCCTTCTGACGCCCACTCTGAGTGACTGGTCCCACCCCCAAGCACACGTCCCCTGCCCCCAACCCTTACCTAAAGCCTCCCACCGCCGCCCCCTTCTTAATCCGCCTGCCCCACCCCATCAGGTACTGAGGTAAAGCCTTTCAGGCATAGCTGAACAAGTGCCCAGCGGGTTAATGGTTAAAGCTGACGTAATTCGCAGGGGCTTTAGGAAAGCTCAGATTCATTCTATTTAGGAATTCGGAGTCTGATTAGTTATAGGATTCCTTTCAAACTTGTACTGGAGGCCCAATGAAGGATCAGAACTGAGGAACTGACTCAGGTTACCAATCACACAGGCAAGGAAGAGGGCAAAAATAAAGCATTTAAGTGGCTGAATGTCTAATGCAAAATAGGTGTGTTAAATATTTATTAAATCAAGATTTAATTTAACAGCTAATACTTAACATAAAAGGTTTACCACTGGTAGCCTCATCTCATGCCTTTCAAGCCATTTTTTTAACTGCATTTTTCAACACTGGCCATAGAATCTAATTGAATCTAAAATTTCTTTAGAAAATCATTATGCCCTTCTATATGCAATGGATTTATCTCGATTAATTTAGTCAATTGATTAATGATTATAACCTTCAGCTTGAAAATTCAACGAATCTATGTCAAATCCCAATTAGATTTCATGCAATTCTCTAATAGTCCATCATTTATTTATTTGAAAGTCAGAGTTGGAGGGGGGGGGGGTGATAGAGAGAGGTTTTCCATCCACTGGTTCATTCCCTAAATGTCTGCAATGGCCAGAGCTGGGCCAATCCAAAGCCAGGATCCGGGTCTCCCACAAGGGTGCAGGGGCCCAAGGACTGGTCCACCTTCTAACTGCTTTCTCAGGCTCATTAACAGGAAGCCGGATTGGAGGTGGCACAGCCCAGACTTGAACCAGCGCCCATATAGGATGCCAACACTGCAGGCAGGGGCTATAACCCACTGCAGCACAGCACCAGCCACCATCATTTATTTCTGATATATGATTTTTCTGTTTCATGAGCAAATCCTGGAAACTGCCCCATATCTCTCTAGAGTTGTGGAGCATATTATTTATAAATAATACCATATTCCTATCGACCATGCAATACCTCAATGAGTAGGAAAAGAACGCGTGGAGAATCTAGTGAGTATTAACTATGGGAAAAGATCAAATTCTAGGGCATATCAGTACTCCTGGGGCTTTGATTTCAAAGCTGGGGGCTTTGGCTGGCAAAATGGGTAGATTACTGCCCTGAGTTGAGAAGAGTGAAGCAATTGAAGAATAGCAGAATAAAAAGACAATTTTTCAAAACTCAGCTACTTCCAATGCAATAACAAAAAAAGAGGACAAAAATAATGAGTCCAAGGGTGACTGTTTGGCTCAGTGGTTAAGGTGCTGCTGGGACACTTGCATCCCAAATCAGAGTGCCTGAGTTCAAGTGCATGCTCTGCTTCTGACGCTAGGTTCCTGCCAATGTGCCTCTTGGGAGGCAGCAGCTGATGGCCCAAGTACTTGGGTCCCTGCCACCCACTTAAAAGACCTGTAATAAGTTCCAGACTCCTGGCTTTAGCTTAGCCCAGACCCACCTGTTGCCAGCATTTGAGAAGTGAACCAGCCAATCAAAGATCTCTCTCTGTGTGTGTCTCTTTTTTTCCTTCTATTCCTTTCAGGTAAACAAAAATAAATTTTAACATTTTTATATAATGGATGCAGCTCTAAATTATGTACCTACTAAGTGTCAGTCACTGTCCTTGGTACTTAATATACAAAAATCTCCCTAAATTCTTATAGCCATTCTCCCTGAGGATGTTAGGAGCACCTTCGCTCTAAAGACAGGAAACTGAAACTAACAGAAATGAAGAAACTTGCCTGAGGTGGCAAAGAAGGTTTATTTAAGTTCAGCTGCTCATAATCCGGCTCTTTTTGAAAGCCTTTTGTAACATGACACAATACAGTACAAATGTCACTTTTTATACCAAATCACTATTATTTCATAGTTTTGTGAAAGGGGCCCGGATCTATTTATGTTGACTTAAAACAGTTCTTCAAGCCATCCTCAAGGGACAGAACTATTGTCTGGGTTGCGAAGAACTCTCATTAATGAGGTTCTTTGCAATATAATTGTCTGTAACCCAGACTGTTTTATATAAGAGTTTATTGTCTCTCCCAAACTAAGAAAGTAATGTAATGAGCAGAGAATTCTGTAGCTATCTCAGTATTTCATGTACTAAAAATCATAGTTTTGCTAGGAAAAGAATTTACAAGAAAAACTCACATGACATTTTTGTTTTCGGCTGAAATAATGCAAAATTTGTGTTTTTAAAATTTGTGATTTAACACTGATCATCATGTGCTAACTATACACTCTGGCAGTTAGAGATGTTCTTGACCTATTATTTATTGCTTAACCCAGAAATGCCTATGGAAAAACTGACAAAAGTTTCCCCTTCATCCTACTTTATTACTACACACAGCACAGAGGCATATCTTCCCATGAAGCATTTCCTAGTCCACTTCCCTACCATACACACACAGACTCATCCTGGAAGTGTGCCCTCTTCAGTGTGTTCATAACAATTTGTGCAAGTGATCATGACTACACTTTCCACACATTTAGTTCTAGAATATGATGTGCTTAAGTCTCCCGATAAATTAGCCTTATTATTCAATTTTTATTGCTGAACGGGACACAAAGCTTGACACATAGTGGGGATTTAGGCAAAGTTTATTAAATGAATAAATAGTGGTTAAGTACATCATCCTTCTTGCTGTGCTGTTCTCAAATTCCAGTTTCTTACTTGTAACTGTCCCATAGTGCAAGAAGAGTTTCTGCCTAACTTGGTAATCAGCTCCCAGAACAGAATTAACTGGGCAAAAACCCCTTGATATAGGTGTCACTTACCCAGAGATCAAACCATATGCATTTGAAATAAGTGTGCACATGTATTAGTTTCCTAAGGCTGCGGTAACACATTACCACAGACTTTGTGATTAAAAAACAAAAACAAAAACAAAAAAACAGGACTTTATTGCCTCACAATTCTAACAGCCAAAAATCTAGCATCAGTTTCTCCTTCCAATCAAAAACAAGGTGTTGACAGGACCACAATCCTTGCCTTTTCCATATTCTGGTAGTTACTGGCATCCATGACTTGGAATGTGTAACCCCAATCTCTGTCTCATGGTCCATTGCCTTCTCTTCTGTTTGAATTTGAGTAAACTCATCTCTGCTTCTCTCTTATAAAGATGCTTGTGATTGCAGTTAGGGCTCACCTACTTAATAAAGGCGTCACACCAATATTCTTAATTTAATCACATCTACCAAGTCCCTTTTTCATTATAAAATAACATTTACAGATTTCTGGGATTCAGATCTGGTATCTTTGGATGGTTATCATTTAGCCTACTATTGCATTTAAATTAATTCAATTTTCATTCCCGGACTTTAGAGTAGAATTTTTGAAGAAATTCATCTTAAAAGATTGATTCCTGGTTAGCATATCTATCAAGAAGTCAAAAATTAAGGTCTGGCATTGTGGCATAGCAGGTAAAGCTTCCATCTGCGATGCCAGCATCTCATCTCGTATGGGCGCTGGTTCGTGTCCCAGCTGCTCTACTCCCGATCCAGCTCCCTGTTAATAGCTTGGGAAAAGCAGCAGAAGATGGCCCAAGTGTTTGGATCTCTGCTACTCACGTGGGAGACCTGGATGAAGCTCTGAGCTTTGACCTGGCCTGGTGCTGCCTGTTGCAGCCATCTGGAGCGTGAACTAGAGGATAGAAGACATCTTTCTTTCTTGCATGCGCGCACCCTCCTACGCTCTCTTAACTCTTTCAAAATAATAATAATAAAAAAACTCTTTTAAAAGTCAAAAATTCGATGCTAGGATGTTTGTCTGATTGAACTGAATAAGATTTCCTGGCCATTGTAACTTGATTTCATTTACCATTTTTGTTATCTATATCTGAGAAACTTGTAATAAAACATAAAATGAAAAGAGCCTGTGTATTTTTCTTCAGAACATAAAAGAGGAAACTAGGAAAACTCTATCCCAAGATGCAGCGTAACTGGTAGAATGTGTGAAACAATCCCAGAAGTCTAACTGACAAGGACATTAAAGAGAAAAGGAAACCACACTGTGTACCCAAGGCCCTTGACAAGACAGAAGGGTCCACTAGGGAGCCACTGAGAAGTGGTCCAAGTACTTAGCATTCACAAGTCTGGGGACAAGGTCCAGACAGTGACTCATGGCCATTTCCATACAAAACAAGTATAAACCATCATCTGATTCAGTTATTTAGGAATGTCTACTGTTCACTCACATGGCTTGGCCAGCTCCCTAAAAATACTGAGGAAGTTGAAGAGGTTCTTATGCCCTCAAGGACCAGATGCTCTTTGCTGGAAAACAAAGCTTGCAGAAGTGAAGGCAATTTAAGACCTCCAGAATGAAGAAGTTCAGGAAAGCTTATTGACAAAAACTGAATAATAATGAATTTTAAGAGTTGACCTACATAAAACATTTTTCCAAACTTCTGGATTTTGTAGGCTGATAAAATTTCAAAAATAAGTAAACGGTGACCATTTTTCAATGAATAAATATACACAATTTTTATATATCAATGATATCGCAATAAAGTCTTTTAAAAAAGAAAAAAAGCTATCCAAGTATTTGCTTCAATAGGGCAATTTCTAAATGCCAAAAAAATCATTCACCACTATGTTCACTAATGATAATTAATATTTCACAATTAATGATTTTAAGAAATAATAACATCTTCAACTCCCATAGAAACTAGCTACATATTCTCATTTCATAGCAGATGTCCTATTGTATTTCATTTTTTTTTTTATCCTCAGATCCCTTCTATAAGATGG